CTGGGGCCCCAAAGATTCAGATCGTCTTTGGCTGGAGACACTGCGGGATACGGCATCAAACCGAGGTCAGTGGTGCGAATGCATCACCTCTTGTCTACAATCCCAAAAATAAATAAAAACGAAAACCCTCAAAATGGCGTGCAGTGAACAAACAAAAAAATATTGTTACTCCTCGAAGTTGACTGTCTTATTTTCCCCAATTTTGTACCTATATTTTTTTCGCTCACCTATGGTTTTCTTTGGCGCTGTATCTGTAAAGATTGGTGTTAATAATAATAATAATAAATAAATAAATAATAATAATAATAATAAATCATCAGAGCCACTATGTAGAAGACAGCTTCGCTGTCGTCCAGTTCGATACTACGTCCATCTGAGTGGAGCTCCATTTAGTTTGCCGCTCTAATTCCTAGCGCTTAAGTTGCCGGATCCCATAAGTGAACGGGAGGTTCTCTTGACTACGATATTCAGACGTTCTGTTGGGCATTAAATGAAAAGCGTGATAGTGTATCAGTAGTGGCATAATAAAAGGTAAAGATATTTAAAACTTCTATAGATTTTTGCAGACCCACATTACATATCGAAGTCTTTTATCTCACGATGACCACGATGTACAACAAAAGGTTCCAATCCTGTGGTCAGTGTACTTATTCAGATATGCAGGTGCAAGCGGAGAAAATATACGAAATTAATTGAGACTGTAGATGTTATTAAGAGTTGTGGGTGCGACGGGGTAAAACAAAAGGGGAGCGCGTTGTTCAATTTGACTGTTTTGAAAAATGATAAAAGGGGAAGTGAAACAACTGCCAACAATGGGTTAGTGACCGAAAGCTGGATCTTTGAGAGGACCCTATGATCGAGTGAATAGCTTCACGAATTTGATAGGGTGGAAAAAAGGGCAGATAATCAACAGTCGACGTGATCTTGGTCAGCGTGGATCTACAGTCATGTAGGAATTACTTAGAAAAACATTCGATACAGTTTTTATTATATACCTAAGTGTGATGAACAGCATACGGGGCGAACCCCATAATTACAAGGACCTGCAGTTCAGTAGTGGAAACCGGCGACCTAAGCCCCAGGACTTGAAGTGGCGAGCCACATAAGGTCCCGATAGGTTAGGCGTGGTATTGAACCGGACGACAACAGAGTTGCCTACCACCAAAGTCGTGTGGCGGTGATAGGACTCGAACCTCGGACCATAGGGTCCAAAGCACGCCGATGACAGTGACTAAACCACAGCGACGCCACCACCCATTAACCATTACCTAACTTGGCAAACTTTGGATAAAATTCAGCTTACGAAAAACACTAGACCGGTAAGGTGATAAAACAGTTTGATCAAAAAGCCATCTACGAAGAGATGCTCCGAATAATCTAGCTAAAACGGGCACCGTGACGATATTGGTCAAAGTGCAACATAAAGAGAAATACCGCCTCTCGTCTGTCCACGGGAACATTATGGTCAAAATAACACAAAAAACCACGCAGCGACAAAGAATATTGGGCAACATGTACGGTTTTTCTGTCTCGATTCTTCCCAGAAACACACCAGTGGATCCGGGAAAATACGAGAAGTTTCGGTAGATAAGACCGTAAGGACAATCATCACTCGTCCATGCATCTAAACACATTAATCATCCGGACCAGTGCGTTAATTTGTAATTACTATCATCGAAACCTAATAACCTACCAACTTGATTTGATCAACTCACCTACAGTGATCTCCGTCTCCGTGTTCACAGACATCGGTATCGTCAACCAAATTACCACTATCGTTATTTGTGCGATCGACTACGAGTTGGTCACCACTGGAACGACTCAACCCGCTGCTGCTTTGACTTTGGCTGATAGATTGACCGGTGCACATTGATGTGGGAATCGCATGGTTCGAATTGGTCGACCCATGCGGATCGGCCGCATTGGGTAAGCCTGAGACGGAACTTTTGTCGGGGTGTACGTTTGGAGCTGAAGTGATCTCACCATTGCGGGTACGAAGTGCCAAAAACTCGCATTCAGACAGAATGGGTGGATGAAGTGTGTTTCGGTTGAGGCGAAAAATAAGCACTGTTTTCTGTGCACGGGAGAAATGGGACAAGTCTGGCATGGGTAATGAATGCCATTCGTGTGCGTTGGGGGAAAGGGACCGACCTGCGGACTGGGAATCCGCTTGGGGCGCACGTGTTTTCCGTATCCCTAAACGACTGGCAGAGCGACTACGAGTTAGTCGTGAATCGGACGATGGGGGGTTGATTATCTTTGTATCTAATGCTAGAGGATCGTAATAGACTAGTTGATAGGTCTCGTTAACTGCGTTATTACCTGAAGAAAGAAAGGAACAGGAGATAACCTTGTAGAAACACAAAGCACGAAATAATTCAAAGAGTATGCAGCACTAAAAACATAAAAATGTCAGGTGTTTGAGCAGCTTGTTAATTACAGCATTTTCACAACTTATGAGACAGCAAATCATCATCACAGTTGTTTTCAACTGCGTCCGACATGAGTTTTTCCTACCACTTTTATCTGTTCGATTTAGCTTTTGACAATAACAATTAGCTAGCGGAAATGTATAAAGGTTCCAGATGTACTGGGTTAGATTTAAGATACACTTGTGAGTGCCAATACACAATTATACCTCGGATGACAATAAAAACCTGCTTCAACTACATACCCATGACCGTGACAACAAAACTGTATCTGGATGAGATGTGATGACGTGTGTCTCTAAGACCCAGCGAGCTGTATCTGGTAACTTCCACGACTGTAGATTAAACCACACATGAAAACTAATTGTTAAAGGCTAGAAGAAACACAAGACCACAAGACCCACAAGACCAGATGAATGGGCACCAATCGGTTTGCTATGACCTGGGAGGGGTCACCCCAGCGAATAAACACTAGGAGGAGCAGTTTACCGGCTGAAATACCCAGCCAGGTGGACGTGAGGGCGAGGTATCTGGGATGCTCTCCTGAAAATGGGAGATCTTCGTACTTCATTGGACAACTGCCTTCCGTCTAAACTAAAAGCCACACAGACTAGCGTGCTGTTCCATTCCACATTGTACCTGTCTCATTGGGTGCATGAGACTCAGGGCTGATCCCGAAAGGTGGATCAACAATGAATGCACCAGCGAACAAAAAACATTAACCCTAGGATCTTAAATTACAGGTTTTTAGAAGCTCTCACATTGATGCTTCACTTACATTCTAGTCGTAGAGATATAGATGAACCGGTGATAAATCGCAATGTCCAAATCTGTCACAGGGTAGCGACATAAGCTTTTCACTACATGCCTTGATGTAATAGACAGTAGAAGTGGTGAGCTCCGAAATCACAAAGTAATCATGGTTCACCAATGGAAATAACCATAGCAGGACCATATAGAACAGACGTAGTATTCAGTTAGGCATTGGAAAAGCTATCTACCACAATTGTGGGATGAAGGTATAAGGATCTAGTGAACGGTTCTGTCTAAATTGGCCTAGTCACAGCCTTGGAAGACAAACAATGCCGATATTTTATGAAAAGCTATTGGGACGAATATCAATGCCATTCGCGCCAGGATAAGCCCGGCTACACGCCTGCTAATTCTGTGAACAAAATAAAACAATTTTGCAATACATTCGATCCAAATTAGGGTCATCGTGGATCAATACTAATCTCTAGGAGATAACTCAATAATATTGCGTCGTACGGCAATATTCACTCTCTCCGTCCGTCTGGTCCGTAGCCTATGATCGGTTGAACATTGCTCACTGTGTATTTCATTGGTACATTCGTTTTCTTGCATTGATCAATGTTATTTTCAGTCACATATAAGCACCATTAAAATCCCGTGCTGCTGAAGCCGTGTCGTCTCTCTCGTGTTTTGGGAGACCTGAGAGATCGACAGCCGACCTGTGTTTCGCCTAAGTAGCTTCTGCTCATCGAACCATCATCCGCTCACGGACTTAGTGCTAGTCCGCTGTTCCCGTGTGCTACTATTGCTACTGTGCTATACCTTGTGTTCTTTGCACTTGTGGCATGTGGCATTCACCTGGGATATAGTGTTGTGCGACCTAATAGTAGGCAACGGATATAAGCAGGGAAAACATAACGATTTGGTGACATAACAAATGCCGTCAAACTTGAAGACTACGTGGTTAACCAACATAAATTTCTATCTTACTATCTTATCTCGACTTACGACGCTAACAATGTGATCAACGGAAATAAGAAGATAGATGTTTCGGCACATATCGGTTGAATGATGAAGGAGAAGTCATTCAAAATACAGGCTGGATTATCAGCACAGTAAGAATGCATAATGAACCCCCGAAGTAAACGCACATACCGCACT